GTGTTGTGGAATTGTAACTCTAAATAATGGTGGAGTGTATTGTACAGATGGTAGCACAAAACCGGGCAACTTGGAGGATATTTCTGGGTCTTAAGCACCTTACTTAAATTTGTTTGTAAATCTATATCTCAGATAGGTTGTTTAAGGGCAGTTCTAGCATTAGAAAATAATTTTGCAATTGAACACCTTATGGGTGAAAGGAATCCTTTTTAAAAGTCTTTCTGAAGTGTCCATTGACATTTGACTGGATGATCCTTTGGTTCTGTTTACCCACGTTTTGGTTATAACCCATCTTGAGTATTGCAAAGGGCTACCCTTGACAATTGTCCAGAAGTTGCAATTGCTGCAGACTGCAGAGTCAAGCGCCTTACCAGGACTGTAGGCTAGACTGAGAAGTCAAAAATGGCAAACCACTGTTGGATTCCAACCTACAGAACTTTTGGGCCTCTCCATGAAGTCACCAAATTCTGAGCTCATCTTGAAACGGATGGTTCCTTTTATTAACACTTTTAAGATCTAAGTAGCTTGCTGCCTCTCCCATTATGAACCTAACCAGCCATTAAGATGTTAAGCTGCCTGATAGATGAACTCTGGCAATGTTTGGGGCACTTTAGTTTGGGGGGGGGGAGCAGAAACCAAGGGGGCACCTACAAAGGAAGAATATTCAATTATGCATGGTGCAAGGTGAATGGATGGGGTCTACCATATTGTTTTGAGAAGCAGTGATGAAAACACCGTCCACAGTATTTGAATTCTCATCACTCCATGGAGCTGTACCAAAGGAAAATGATTTAGGCAAGGTTCATTTTTTGTTTCTTTCCCCCTCCTAACGTATACACTTTCTGCTGAAACTCTATAGAGTACAAGCCTTATAACTGGGAACAATGCCACTGAAGATTGCCCTCCTTCCAACAAAAACATTTACACCCTTTGCCTGAAAATGCATGGTGGAACAAATCCAGCTGGGCAGTTTTACAAGGTCCTTGGCTAAGCCGGGGTGGGGATTCATTCTCTTGCCAGCAAGAGTTTGGCTCTTGGTTACTAGGGGAGTTGCCTCACAAGATCAGGGTGAGAAGCCAATTCCGTCTTGCCCCAAATATTATGTTGAGCAGTCTGTTTTTAGGAATGGAAGACCAACATGCTTTGAAAGTGGAAAGTGAACCATCAGCTCACTTCACTGAAGGGATCTGAAGACTGTAATGAGAAGAAATTTCTTTTTGTGCTTTCTGTTTTTTAGTTTCTTTGACCTTACTCCCCCAAGACACTCATAATTTTTCTCCTTTAATCCAGAATATCTTCCCAACAACCCTGGCAAAGGACTGAAAGACACAAATTGGGTTTACCACAAAGGTGCCTTGAATAAACCACAGCTGGCTAAATTCACACAGCACTTAAGCCATAAGCTATGATCTGGAAGTTTCGGAGCCTGGGACTTGCGTGTCAAGTTGCAACTTCCACATTAAGTTCAGCTAAAAGCAAACCAACCACCTTACAGCTTAATGAGATATGAGAATCCAGACATTTGCTGGTTTGGTTATTTATTTATCGCATTTATATAGCCGCCCATCTCCATGTAAGACTCCATACAAGACTCTGGGCTCACAAACAGTTAAAAAAACATTATTAAAATACAGCAAACCAATACAATAAATAAAAGTGATAACAACAATATAAAACCATATAAAATCTTAAAACAAAATTGGAAACATTTGGAAACAAGAGCCTCCAACGAGCCCCATGTTGGAATAAACAAGGATGTAAACTCAGTTTTCCCTGTTCCTACCCCCATACTCTAACTCAGGTTTCTGTAACCGGCTGCCTTCCATATGTTAGGACTTGAACTCCCAAGATTCCCACTAACATGCTGGCTAAGGATTCTGGGCGTTATAATCCTATTATATTGGAATTGGTGGAAGCTCTACACATTTATGTGCATTCTTTCAATGGCCATATAGAACAGAAACATAATGAGTGTTAGTACATCCTAAAGACATTTATTGTTGCCTAAAATGGAGGTCAGCAGGACAACATCGACTGGTGTGTAGGACACCCTTAAGTGATAAGGTACCACGATGCCCCTCTGACCCCTTTTTTTTCTGTGCCACATTAAGACAGTTCATGCTCTGGAAATGGTTCTTCAGTGAGGTCACTCGAAACCTGTCTAAATTGTAAACAGTGGACCGGTAGGAATGGAGGCTTTGCAGGAATCAGTTTAAAAGCCACAGCAATCCATACTGACCTATCAGGCAGAGTTTTTTGATTATGTCATTCTTAATCATCGAAAGGTCACTTTGCTGACAAAGAGAGCTACAGGCAACTTTCCTGTAAACCCTGGCCCTGCCTCAGCCAGCAATAGCTAAGAGAGTTCCTTGAAAGATAAGCTTTCAAAGTCTTTTTTTTAAAGCTTTGAGAGTTCTCATAATGCTTTGTTACTGAGAACCTCCAGAAGGCCGTGAAGATCTTAGGGCCAGGATGTTAGGGGAGCCTGTCAGCCCTTCAAGGTAGATCAGACTAGGAATCCTATGTCAGGTAGACCAGTACTACTTTTCGTAAAGCTGTAGTAACAGGATCTTGCAAGTCTGAATATGTCCCCCCCCTGCCTTTATGTCCAGGAGAACTAGGGAGGGTCTTGTCTGAAATGTTTTCTTAGGTTACAGTTCTGACCCAGACTCGGGTTTCTTTTATCTGACCATTTCTTGGTTGCGGCTCTTCCTCCTGTCCCTCAAGGCTCTTCCCTCCGCCCTCTACAGATATGTGTTTGCATTATGAGTTTGTTATGCAGTGCCTTGCTTTTTGTATTTAATTTTTTAACTCTATTTTTCTTTTGTTGACATAGGTTTTATTATTATTTTTTCCCCTGGGGAGTGATGTGTTAGCTGCCCAGAGTTATCTGTTTAAGGTGGGTGGTCATATAAATGTTCTAAAGAAATAAATCCCCAACAGGATTGTTGAAAATGTGGGGGTAAATGTACAACAGAAGAACCCTTAGTTAGAAGTACCCCTTAGTTATTTCATTTTCTTGACCCCTAACTGTGACAAGATCTTGGGATAGTGACACATAGCTCAGTGAAAATACTAAGCCAGTCCGAGGCTGTTGGGAAAAAGGCAACTTCCATACTCTGGTTTCTCTTCAGATCGTATAAATCTTTTGCCTTTTACTTCCATACTGCAAACTCCAAATGGCAGATCATTAGGAAAAGAGTGAACAAAGAATTCGGCCTTTCTATTTCTATACCACCAAATCTACCCAAGATGTAGATACTCAATTGCCAGTATCCAAGTCCGTGATGGGAGCACCGCTGAATTGTTACGCATAGGTTTTCATGGGACTTCCACAACAGCACCCTGCAGAATTGAAGAAGATGCAGAAAAGGCTAGCCAAAATGAACAAGAGAATGAGAGCAATATTTGGAGGGCTCTTAACTGGGAAAAACAGAAAAGAAGGGAAAATGTGACAAAGATATATAAGGTGAGCTGGAGGGGGAGAAAGTAGACAGATTATTACACTCCTTAGTAAGTACATATTGTACCATGCTTTCTATTTTTCCCCAGAGATCAGAAGAATCAGAGCAGCACTTAAGAGAATTTGTTTCCTATAGAAATTGGAGCGTAGTTTGTGGAGCCTTTCAAATATTGATCTTAAGATACAACAGATCACAAAGGCAGGAAACAGATTCTCCTCCAGCCAGAAATAAATCTGATAAGCCTTCTTCAGGTTCCCAAGGAGAACCTGACACTCTCATCATTTTGCTATCCATTGACAGCTTCAAACTATCTCCCTGTTTAGGTTTGTTTTC